GTCTACAAGTACATTAATGAGATGCTCATTGCGGTGTTGGTAACTACATCAGAAAACTATTATATCATCCATATAAATAAATGCCTCAGACTCCAAAACAAATAAAGCTGTTGTCAACATTCGTTGAAAATTATTAGATGATATTTTAAGACCAAAAGGTAATCTCATATACTGATAATGACCATTATATGTCGAAAATGCTGTTAGCTTAATAGCAAAGTACATTATAATTACTAATTGATAGTTCATTTAATTTACTATTCAAAACATCCAGTACTTAAGCATCTATCTCTTCCGTATGTGCTAATGGTAATCTATAACTTTTTTTTTATATAAACAGAATTTTTTTCTTCTAGGTTAATTATCTTCTTATAAAAGTGTTTGTTCATAAATCTTCTATATGGACTATCACTTCACTTAAGTAATCTAAATTAATTCCGCTTAAAACCCTTTTAAAACTTTTGTCAGTAGTTAACTGTGTGAGTAAAAATGGTTAATGGTGAGTACATCGTAAGTGCTTTAAGGAACTGTTTTTAATTTTATATGATCTATTGGCATTTTCAGAATAATACGACTGCATCTTTTAATTATTTTCCTTTATTTGTTAGCAGTCAATGGATTGCAGTAACCATCTTTTTCTTTACACAAATAAATATCTGCACTTGTATCAATCAAAAACGCAAGTGTGTAGTCTAGACCTATTATATTCAATCTCACATAATCCTTGAGCTTAGATGATTTACTGTATATGTTTCTGTCTGTGCTCTCCGAAGACAAACATTCCCCGATCCGGCACTTGGTGAACATTATAGCCTCTACCATTGTAGTCATTGTTGTTTATGTTATTGTCACCATTATTATCGTTTCTGTTACCGTTATTGTTGTTGTTCCCATTCCCATTATTATTCCTGCTGTAATTAGAGTTATTATAGCTGTTATTTCGCCTATTAATGATATTATAATTTTTATCGTTTTTATCATATTTATTTCGGTCATAACCATTATAATCGTATTTGTTGTTATAGCGTTTATTATAATAGTTTTTGTAATATTTCTTTTTATTGCATTTATTATAATTATTTTTATTATTATTATTATCATTATTATTATTATTATTATTATTATTATTATTATTATTATTATTATTATTATTATTATTATTATTATGATTATTATTATTATTATTATTATTATTATTATTATTATTATTATTATTATTATTATTATTATTATTATGATTATTATTATTATTATTATAATTATTATTATTATTATTATTATTATTATTATTATTATAACTATTATTATTATAACTATTATTATTATAACTATTATTATTATTATTATAATTATTATTATTATTGTGCAGTGCAACTGTACCTCCCGATTTGATGTATTTTGATCATGTTAGCGATATTATTCGCCGGTATTGTTTTAAATTTGACATTTGAAGTTCGTAATAATTATTACAGCCTAAGGCGAAAAGTTTTCTGTGCAGGTCCACGTCTTCGTGTAGCCCCCATATAACGGTACCTCCCGATATTCGCTATTTATTTTTTTTTAGCTACATTATTCACCGATTTTTGTAAGTTTCGCATTTGAATATTGTAATGGCTTATGACAAAAACTACCTATGCAGGTCCATGTCATTGTATAGACCCTAATGTAACAGCTACATTCGGTATTTGTAAGATTTTAACAGAATTTTTAACGAATTTTATTGCTTTTGGGAATTGCCAAATTCCTTACAAATGGTGGAGGGTATTCAGAGTTCGGCCGTGCCGAAATTACACCTTTTTTACTTGTTGCTTCTATATTAGCTTATTGAATTCATTCGCCAAACGAACATATGGTTCACTATAAACTCAACGCTATTACAATTACTCAATTAAAATATTATTTTTCAATACCTAGATAAATGTAGAATTAAATTTTGATTTTATTGAAACTCGCTCAGTCTCGCCTGCTGCTTCCTAATCTGTTTTTACATATCTCTTCAAGTACCTAGTTATTACTATCAAGATTATTATGATGCAGAATAAGATTAACACCTCGATGCTCACACTGACTGCCGTAAGAGCATTCGCGGTCGCTTAAATTTCTTCACTTATCTTTGTTTGGTTGTTCATCATAGTTCAGAACATCAGATAATCATTTTTATAAATTACAATTAAAAATATATTGTAGTATTTATAAAAAAATCGTGTAATGGAACAAAAAAACTGATTATGAACGGCAAGCACTTACTGATCGCTAACGTCTTCAGATTGATGCAGCGTTTTTTTTTCTTTTCTACATTTAATATAGCGTCTTATACAGAAGTCTATCTCCCGGGATGTCCTAGTTCTCTTTTTTGGAGGAACACAGTCCTTCTGCATTATTCGAGAACCTGCCGTCTATTGGTATGTTTACGATCTACGAACAGGCTGAATAGTGTTTTTCTTCTATATTCCAAAAGGTATGCGTCATGATTCACGATCTCTCTTTTTATTCTGCGGAATAAAACGCAGGGGTCATCGCTGGGTACAAAGTAAGATTTAGCAGAATCATCATGTAATGAAATAATAACGATTATTTTAGCGTTGCTCGTGCAAAATGTAAGTCACGAACAAGTCTGACTTCCTTATTTATTTTGACAGATATTTATATAAAAACTATAAGTCTTACATTGAGTTCTTAGTCTTCCAACCAATAGGAACAGAGTTCGATATTGTTCCAACTACATATGTAAACCTGTATGAGATATTCCACATAAGTTTACATGCATTGGAATCATGCATTCAAATTCACATTTAAAAACATCACTCAAACAAATTTACTATTCGGATATTGGCGGAATTCTAACACCATTGCCCTATATATGAGTGAGAATGACACAAAACAATGCAACAATACATGAAAGCAATAAACTCGCTGTGGCCTTGACCAATTCAACAAAATATCGAACATCAAATGTATGGCAACATAATGATACGCTACACTCCATAAATAGGGATATTCTTTCAATTTGCTGCCCTGTGATGCAGAGATCCTATCCGGGGATTATATGTCAGGGTCCACATTCCGTGGCATGTCAACTACTGTGTATATAAAAAATCCTCCTCTCAGTCCATTGCAGCAAATTGAAATTAGAATTAAAAGTAATGAAACACCAATCCCAAGTTTTTTTCCAGTAGAACAATGGACTGCATTATTGAGTTTTTGTAAATGAAACATCATTGCCTTTATACAAAGGGTTTTTAGCATTAGGACTTAATCCTATGCCTTCTTAGTACTCGGAGAGTTAGCGAAATACTCTAAAGGCAATTAAAAACGTAAAGCTGTATGATATGTCATTACTATTATTTACGAAGTGCGAAGTCACCACCAGAAAATCACCAGTATTACACAAATGTAACATAAACGCAATTTAATGAAAATTAAGTTATTAAGTTATTATGAAAATTAAGTGTTATTGGTACACATTGTTCATAATGGTGTGACGTATTCGGCTCGTGCGCTCTTGGATTCTGAGGGGACTTTTTTTAGAAACTGTTTCTATACTACGAGTGACCCAATGTCTAGTTTGTACAATTCAATTCTGCCACAATACGCAAACTGTGCACAATATTGTTTTCAATTTCTGAAAAATATCTTTGCGTAAAGATTTTTGACGCTTTAGTGCGGTCAAAATACTATGAGATATTCAGTCTAATTCGTTCTCTTTCACTGTAAAACTATTTTGTCCACATATACCAAACGTGTATTTCTAGCACATATAGCGAAATTGCTCGACCCAGCCAGTAAGTCATCTCCACGTGGTTTTGACCAAAATTATGATGGAGAAAACATCGGATAGGATGATTCTTTGTCTCCGCCCATGAATAAAACTTTCATGGCAAATGGAGTTTCCAATTATTATTCAGATAGCGCCATTCTAACTGAACTGACAAGCAGAAGCTTTCTCCCATCAGACCTTATCAACAGTAATTTATGCTGGCTCATTGACTCATTGGCTGCGCGAAACATAGTAGATATGGGAGGGGTACAGACGTTACTTTAATCACCGATACAAATGTCGAAAATAAGTCTATTTTTTGTCAATTTGCCCATTTTCTAAGGCGTATTTAAAGTTTTCCCGTGACCTTAGAATTAATTTTGGTCGTGAGCTTTTTCTAGTTTATCGACTCACACTCTCAAATGCGCCTGAGATTACGCACAAATTCCATTTATAAGTCTGGTCCTTTGACTAGAGATGAGCTGCATACAGCTAGAAATTATTGAATTCAGTTGTGTCAAAATGCATTCTATCCAAGATAGTACATTAATACACAACCCGCAAAACATACGTGTAAGTGAAACATCTAATCAATATTCAGTCGAATTGTCATTTTTCCAAGCTGTTGATTCGATCGGTTACTGTTCATTGTGGCAGCCAGCTAGTTTTGAGAGTAATCTGCTCCTTATTTAAAAATCTAAAAGCGGCACTACACATTACTCATAACAGAATAAACGATGCCAAAAACCCGAAGGTAGCTCTCAAAACGAATGTATGGAAATATTACACCAATATGAACAATGTTTTGACACCAATTGTAGAACCCATTACGAACTGCAAATAATAAAATTTTACACAAATCCATTAGAAATATGGCTAAAACTACCAAAATACCGAACATCGGGGTTCTGCTACATGGGGGCTATACGAAAACGTGGACCTATATATACAATGTTCTGCCACCGGAACTAGAATCCAATACGCACTACAAAAACCATTTTTCATCTTGAAATATCAAGAGAAACAGCAGTAAGAAAGGTAGGTAGCCAAGCCAATTAAGACAGTTACTCTAACTTCGATATGCTTTGAATTATTATTTGTAGATTATTGATTGCAATTTTTTAATAACTAATGGATTTATACATTAAACAAATTTCTTTTTCCGAAGAGATTTAAATGTCAAATTTCTAGAATCACAATAAGGATTTTGATAAAATATATCTGAATTAACCATAATCTTACAATGAAGTGTATTCTCTTGCAGCCGATCGCTTTTCATTTAAGAACAGTTTTCACGTTCAATGTTTGCCATTAATGTGCACTATGAATACAACATCAAATCATGAATGTTGATGATTACAGTGTTGTTTATAGCCAGGGAAATGAGAATTATCCCGAAAACGCTATTTTTATCAACGAGATTAGTCAAGGATTGGACATTATACAAAATTCGGACAAATCTTTAAAAACAAAGGAAAGTAATATTGAATTTAGAATCAAAGAAAAGGTAGTGCAAAATGAACTGTTCAACACTCAAGACAAATTAATAACAAGTGCTTTAAATAATACGGATACATACGCCACTCTAACTCCATTGCAAACACTTCCTCCCATATCTACTATGTCGGAGAAGTTCTTATATGGTAGTCAATGGAATGAAGCTTGTTCCATTGATGTTTCAAATTCTTCCAGCGATAGAAATGACGTCATTGACAGTAGGTCATTGTCATTTAACACACCTATAAATCAATCCCACTTCCCAAAGCTTTGCATACGAAATATTACTTTACAACGCAGGCAAAATCACAATTATGCAGACAATTATATGCACTCCGAAAAACGAAAAATATTTCCCGAGACTGCAAAATCCATTTTGCAAGATACTTTACGGTTTCCAGTTATAAATAACAATGAAGTGCAAAACATTGTTGAAAAAAATATTCTAGAGTTTACGCAATGTTCCAAAAACAAAGAAGATAATTACATAAATTCGCAAATTGTAGGACACTCGAATCCAATAGAAGAAATCAAATTTATAGATGACTTCAGTTCTACGAAAACTGTTTTAACTTGCCCATCACTAAAAAAATATCCAGTAACCCCACCTCCTAAAGAAAACCACAAGAGCATATCTCTAAAGAAAAGTAACGTGAAGCTAGGAACAGATTGTGTTTTCGAAAAACACGTCGCTTCTACATCACTGGGAGAAGGAGCCAACATTGAAATAGGTAGAAAGAGTCAATTCACAAAAATTGATGAATCTGGGAATTCCTTCCCATTACCACTGCAAATAACAGGGAGTACCGCACAAGTCTTTTCCGACTTTAATGAAGAATCGTTTACATCGTCTACAATTTCAAACAAGGGAAACAAATGTTCATATTCTGATTTGAAATCTGATACTATTTCTTATCAAGCTGTCCCCTCTACAAAATTACAAGATGAGGCAGAAGACAGAGAAGAAATTAATACTAAAGATTTAGCTCAAAGGATTTCCTCTGAACTCAAGCGATATAGTATCCCCCAAGCAATTTTTGCACAAAGAGTTTTATGCCGATCACAGGGAACTTTGTCTGATCTGCTACGAAATCCAAAGCCTTGGTCGAAATTGAAATCAGGTCGGGAGACATTTAGACGCATGCTGAAATGGCTCCAGGAACCTGAAATGCAGAGAATGTCATCTCTAAGATTGGCAGCAGCACAGGAACAGAGAGCTTGTACATTTGTTAACTCTAAACAAGAATTTACACGCATTTCTGGTAAGTGTTTTTGTTCCCTAAATAATACTAAAAACGTTATATACAGACATATAGCCTGTTATTATACCCTCTACCTTGGAAAGGAGGGTATATTAACTTTGTAATTCCGTTTGTTACATCTTTAACCATTCATCGAAGTCGATTTAACGATGTCCGTCTGTCTGTTGAAATCACAATACGGCTCACATTATTTGACGTAGACCTTCAAAATTTGGCAGAACAATTTGTTTGTTTGTTCGGTATTTTGATGATTTCGCCACATGCGTCTTGAAATTGGTATATGTAGGTCATAATGGGTTCTAGTTGCGCAGGCGGAACATTGCATGCATATGTCCACGTTTTCGTATAGCCCACATATAACGGTACCTCCCGATATTCGGTATTCTGATGATTTTTGCCACATTTTTCTACGGATTTGTCTAAAAATTGGTAGTATAGGTCATAATGGGTTCTAGCTCGCGTTGCGAAAAATTGCATGTACAGGTCCATATTTTGGTGTAGCCTCCATGTATCGGTACCTCCAGATATTCGATATTTTGATGATTTTTGTCACATTTTTTTCAAGGATTTGTCTAAAAATGTATATTTGTAAGGTATAATGCATTCTAGCTCGTGTGTTATAGCCCCCACATAACGGTACCTCCCAATATTCGATATTTTGATAAAAATTGGTATTTGCAGTTCATAATGGGTTCTAGGCCGGTGGCAAAACATTGTATATGGAGTTCCACGTATTCGATATTTTGATTTACCCACATAATTGTTTCAAATTTGGTATTTTAGAAGATTTGATAGATGACAATTCTTCAAGTATAAAACTGCCTATAAAGGTTCCCGTTTTGGTATGGCCCCACATAGCGGCCTCACTCACATTATGGTTTTTTTCATAAATTTAACTGCATTAATAAAACGGTCTAACTGGTATATGAAGTTTAAGGTGAAACAAGCTTGAATTCAGATACTTTTATAGAAAAATGTTTTGGTATGGCCTCGTATAACGGCCTCACTCACTTTTTAGTTTTTTGATAAATTTAACTGCATTATGCAAACGGTCTGATTGGTATACGAAGTTTTAAGTGAGACAAGCTTGAATTCATATACTTAAATATAAAAATATTTCCTTTACCCCAAAGTGGAGGGTATTGAAACTGTGGCCTGGCCGCACTTAATGTTTTTTTTTTTTTTGCTTTTATATATATATATATATATATATATATACATTGCATGTATAGGTCCATGTTTTTGTATAGCCCCCATATAAAGGTACCTCCCGATATTCGGTGTTTTGATTATTTTTGTCAAATTTTTTTCACGGATTTGTCTAAAAATTAGTATTTGTTGGTCATAATGGGTCCTCCTTCGTGTGGCGAAAAATTGTATGTATAAGTCCACGTTTTGGTATAGTCCCCATATAACGGTACCTCCCAATATTAGGTATTTAGATGATTTTTGACACATTTCTTCACGGATGTCTACAAATTGGTAGTTGTAGATCATAATGGGTCGCAGTTCGTGTGGCGAGTCATTGTAATTATAAGTACACGTTTTGGCCCTTATAACGGTACTTCCCGATATTCGGTAATTTGATGATTTTTGCCACATTTTTTACGGATTTGTGTGAAAATTGGTATTTGTAGATAATAATGGTTTCTATCTCCTTTGGCAAAACACTGCGTGTATAGGTTCACGATTTGGTACAGCGCCCATATAACGGTACCTCCCGATATTCGCTATTTATTTTTTTTAGCTACATTATTCACCGATTTTTGTAAGTTTCGCATTTAAATTTTGTAATGGCTTATGACAAAAACTACCTATGCAGGTCCATGTCATCGTATAGACCCTAATGTAACAGCTACATTCGGTATTTGTAAGATTTTAACAGAATTTTTAACGAATTTTATTGCTTTTGGGAATTGCCAAATTCCTTACAAATGGTGGAGGGTATTCAGAGTTCGGCCGTGCCGAACTTACACCTTTTTTACTTGTTGCTTCTATATTAGCTTATTGAAATCATTCGCCTAACGAACATATGGTTCACTATAAACTCAACGCTATTACAATTACTCAATTAAAATATTATTTTTCAATACCTGGATAAATGTAGAATTAAATTTTGATTTTATTGAAACTCGCTCAGTCTCGCCTGCTGCTTCCTAATCTGTTTTTACATATCTCTTCAAGTACCTAATTATTACTATCAAGATTATTATGATGCAGAATAAGATTAACACCTCGATGCTCACACTGACTGCCGTAAGAGCATTCGCGGTCACTTAAATTTCTTCACTTATCTTTGTTTGGTTGTTCATCATAGTCCAGAACATCAGATAATCATTTTTATAAATTACAATTAAAAATATATTGTAGTATTTATAAAAAAATCGTGTAATGGAACAAAAAAACTGATTATGAACGGCAAGCACTTACTGATCGCTAACGTCTTCAGATTGATGCAGCGTTTTTTTTTTTTTCTTTTCTACATTTAATATAGCGTCTTATACAGAAGTCTATCTCCCGGGATGTCCTAGTTCTCTTTTGTGGAGGAACACAGTCCTTCTGCATTATTCGAGAACCTGCCGTCTATTGGTATGTTTACGATCTACGGCTTGGACAGAACAGGCTGAATAGTGTTTTTCTTCTATATTCCAAAAGGTATGCGTCATGATTCACGATCTCTCTTTTTATTCTGCGGAATAAAACGCAGGGGTCATCGCTGGGTACAAAGCAAGATTTAACAGAATCATCATGTAATGAAATAAAAACGATTATTTTAGCGTTGCTCGTGCAAAATGTAAGTCACGAACAAGTCTGACTTCCTTATTTATTTTGACAGATATTTATATAAAAACTATAAGTCTTACATTGAGTTCTTAGTCTTCCAACCAATAGGAACAGAGTTCGATATTGTTCCAACTACATATGTAAGCCTGTATGAGATATTCCACATAAGTTTACATGCATTGGAATCATGCATTCAAATTCACATTTAAAAACATCACTCAAACAAATTTACTATTCGGATATTGGCGGAATTCTAACACCATTGCCCTATATATGAGTGAGAATGACACAAAACAATGCAACAATACATGAAAGCAATAAACTCGCTGTGGCCTTGACCAATTCAACAAAATATCGAACATCAAATGTATGGCAACATAATGATACGCTACACTCCATAAATAGGGATATTCTTTCAATTTGCTGCCCTGTGATGCAGAGATCCTATCCGGGAATTATATGTCAGGGTCCACATTCCGTGGCATGTCAACTACTGTGTATATAAAAAATCCTCCTCTCAGTCCATTGCAGCAAATTGAAATTAGAATTAAAAGTAATGAAAACACCAATCCCAAGTTTTTTTCCAGTAGAACAATGGACTGCATTATTGAGTTTTTGTAAATGAAACATCATTGCCTTTATACAAAGGGTTTTTAGCATTAGGACTTAATCCTATGCCTTCTTAGTACTCGGAGAGTTAGCGAAATACTCTAAAGGCAATTAAAAACGTAAAGCTGTATGATATGTCATTACTATTATTTACGAAGTGCGAAGTCACCACCAGAAAATCACCAGTATTACACAAATGTAACATAAACGCAATTTAATGAAAAAGTGTTATTGGTACACATTGTTCATAATGGTGTGACGTATTCGGCTCTTGGATTCTGAGGGGACTTTTTTTTAGAAACTGTTTCTATACTACGAGTGACCCAATGTCAAGTTTGTACAATTCAATTCTGCCACAATACGCAAACTGTGCACAATATTGTTTTTAATTTCTGAAAAATATCTTTGCGTAAAGATTTTTGACGCTTTAGTGCGGTCAAAATACTATGAGATATTCAGTCTAATTCGTTCTCTTTCACTGTAAAACTATTTTGTCCACATATACCAAACGTGTATTTCTAGCACATATAGCGAAATTGCTCGACCCAGCCAGTAAGTCATCTCCACGTGGTTTTGGCCAAAATTATGATGGAGAAAACATTGGATAGGATGATTCTTTGTCTCCGCCCATGAATAAAACTTTCATGGCAAATGGAGTTTCCAAGTATTATTCAGATAGCGCCATTCTAACTGAACTTACAAGCAGAAGCTTTCTCCCATCAGACCTTATCAACAGTGATTTATGCTGGCTCATTGACTCATTGGCTGCGCGAAACATAGTAGATATGGGAGGGGTACAGACGTTACTTTAATCACCGATACAAATGTCGAAAATAAGTCTATTTTTTGTCAATTTGCCCATTTTCTAAGGCGTATTTGAAGTTTTCCCGTGACCTTAGAATTAATTTTGGTCGTGAGCTTTTTCTAGTTTATCGACTCACACTCTCAAATGCGCCTGAGATTACGCACAAATTCCATTTATAGGTCTGGTCCTTTGACTAGAGATGAGCTGCATACAGCTAGAAATTATTGAATTCAGTTGTGTCAAAATGCATTCTATCCAAGATAGTACATTAATACACAACCCGCAAAACATACGTGTAAGTGAAACATCTAATCAATATTCAGTCGAATTGTCATTTTTCCAAGCTGTTGATTCGATCGGTTACTGTTCATTGTGGCAGCCAGCTAGTTTTGAGAGTCATCTGCTCCTTATTTAAAAATCTAAAAGCGGCACTACACATTACTCATAACAGAATAAACGATGCCAAAAACCCGAAGGTAGCTCTCAAAACGAATGTATGGAAATATTACACCAATATGAACAATGTTTTGACACCAATTGTAGAACCCATTACGAACTGCAAATAATAAAATTTTACACAAATCCATTAGAAATATGGCTAAAACTACCAAAATACCGAACATCGGGGTTCTGCTACATGGGGGCTATACGAAAACGTGGACCTATACATACAATGTTCTGCCACCGGAACTAGAATCCAATACGCACTACAAAAACCATTTTTCATCTTGAAATATCAATCTGATGATATCAAGAGAAACAGCAGTAAGACAGGTAGGTAGCCAAGCCAATTAAGACAGTTACTCTAACTTCGATATGCTTTGAATTATTATTTGTAGATTATTGATTGCAATTTTTTAATAACTAATGGATTTATACATTAAACAAATTTCTTTTTCCGAAGAGATTTAAATGTCAAATTTCTAGAATCACAATAAGGATTTTGATAAAATATATCTGAATTAACCATAATCTTACAATGAAGTGTATTCTCTTGCAGCCGATCGCTTTTCATTTAAGAACAGTTTTCACGTTGAATGTTTGCCATTAATGTGCACTATGAATACAACATCAAATCATGAATGTTGATGATTACAGTGTTGTTTATAGCCAGGGAAATGAGAATTATCCCGAAAACGCTATTTTTATCAACGAGATTAGTCAAGGATCGGACATTATACAAAATTCGGACAAATCTTTAAAAACAAAGGAAAGTAATATTGAATTTAGAATCAAAGAAAAGGTAGTGCAAAATGAACTGTTCAACACTCAAGACAAATTAATAACAAGTGCTTTAAATAATACGGATACATACGCCACTCTAACTCCATTGCAAACACTTCCTCCCATATCTACTATGTCGGAGAAGTTCTTATATGGTAGTCAATGGAATGAAGCTTGTTCCATTGATGTTTCAAATTCTTCCTGCGATAGAAATGACGTCATTGACAGTAGGTCATTGTCATTTAACACACCTATAAATCAATTCCACTTCCCAAAGCTTTGCATACGAAATATTACTTTACAACGCAGGCAAAATCACAATTATGCAGACAATTATATGCACTCCGAAAAACGAAAAATATTTCCCCAGACTGCAAAATCCATTTTGCAAGATACTTTACGGTTTCCAGTTATAAATAACAATGAAGTGCAAAACATTGTTGAAAAAAATATTCTAGAGTTTACGCAATGTTCCAAAAACAAAGAAGATAATTACATAAATTCGCAAATTGTAGGACACTCGAATCCAATAGAAGAAATCAAATTTTATTTATATATACTTCAGTTCTGCGAAAACTGTTTTAACTTGCCCATCACTAAAAAAATATCCAGTAACCCCACCTCCTAAAGAAAACCACAAGAGCATATCTCTAAAGAAAAGTAACGTGAAGCTAGGAACAGATTGTGTTTTCGAAAAACACGTCGCTTCTACATCACTGGGAGAAGGAGCCAACATTGAAATAGGTAGAAAGAGTCAATTCACAAAAATTGATGAATCTGGGAATTCCTTCCCATTACCACTGCAAATAACAGGGAGTACCGCACAAGTCTTTTCCGACTTTAATGAAGAATCGTTTACGTCGTCTACAATTTCAAACAAGGGAAACAAATGTTCATATTCAGATTTGAAATCTGATACTATTTCTTATCAAGCTGTTCCCTCTACAAAATTACAAGATGAGGCAGAAGACAGAGAAGAAATTAATACTAAAGATTTAGCTCAGAGGATTTCCTCTGAACTCAAGCGATATAGTATCCCCCAAGCAATTTTTGCACAAAGAGTTTTATGCCGATCACAGGGAACTTTGTCTGATCTGCTACGAAATCCAAAGCCTTGGTCGAAATTGAAATCAGGTCGGGAGACATTTAGACGCATGCTGAAATGGCTCCAGGAACCTGAAATGCAGAGATTGCCATCTCTAAGATTGGCAGCAGCACAGGAACAGAGAGCTTGTACATTTGTTAACTCTGAACAAGAATTTACACGCATTTCTGGTAAGTGTTTTTGTTCCCTAAATAATACTAAAAACGTTATATACAGACATATAGCCTGTTATTATACCCTCTACCTTGGAAAGGAGGGTATATTAACTTTGTAATTCCGTTTGTTACATCTTTAACCATTCATCGAAGTCGATTTAACGATGTCCGTCTGTCTGTTGAAATCACAATACGGCTCACATTATTTGAAGTAGACCTTCAAAATTTGGCAGAACAATTTGTTTGTTTGTTCGGTATTTTGATGATTTCGCCACATGCGTCTTGAAATTGGTATATGTAGGTCATAATGGGTTCTCGCTCGCGTTGTGACAATCTTGAGAATATATATATGTATATATATATATATATATATATATATATATATATATATATATATATATATATATATATATATATATATATATTGTCAGGATTGTCACATATATTTCGGTGGCGGCAGTGTTATGGTGTGGGTAGCGTTTTCTTTAGTAAACATATGTAAACATATGTTTTGTTCCAACAAAAATTAATAGCTCCACTTATTCCGAACTTTTGGAAGGTACTCTTCTCTCATTTTTAGATGAAGACTACATGTTCCATTACACGATTTTTTTTAAATATTACAATATATTTCTAATTGTAATTTATAAAAATGGTTATCTGACATTCTGAACTATGATGAACAACCAAACAATGATAAGTGAAGAAATTTAAGCGACCGCGAATGCTCTTACGGCAGTCAGTGTGAGCATCGAGGTGTTAATCTTAGTCTGCATCATAATAATCTTGATAGTAATAAGTAGGTACTTGAAGAGATATGTAAAAACAGATTAGGAAGCAGCAGGAGAGGCTGAGTGAGTTGCAATAAAATCAAAAATTAATTCTACATTTATCCAGGTGTTGAAAATTTTTGTCATAAGCCATTATAATATTCAAATGCGAAACTTACAACAATCGGTGAATAATGCAGCTAAAATCATCAAAATCGCTAATATCGGGAGGTACTGATATATGGGGGCTACACAAAGACGTGGACGTGCACAGACAAATTTCCGTCTTAGGCTGTAGTATCTATTATGTACTTCAAATGCCAAATTTAAAACGATACCGGCGAATAATATCGCTGACATGATCAAAATACTTCAAATCGGGAGGTACAGTTATATGGGGGCTATACGAACCTACACGGCACAATTTCAATACCAAAAGTCCTGCAGGCATAATGCACGTTTGAGTAAATTTTTATCAACTTACATCATTTCGTTCGGACGGACATTGCTAAATTGGCATATAATTGTATGCTGATCAAGAATATATATACTTTGTGGGGTTTAAAATGTAATTCGAGATGACTTAAATTAATATATCCTCCATACTATGGTGGAGGGTATAAAAATACGAGGGTCCAGGTGAATATAGGTCAAGGTTTAATGGGTTGAAAGCGGAAGCTTTGGGTTTATTATTAGAACACTTCGAGTTAATTCAGCTGGTCAGAGAGAAAAGCACAGTAAAACAGTAAGACATATGGAGGCTAATGATATAAACGATTGTTTCTTTAGTACAAATTTTTACAGGTAAAAAAGAGGATTAAGAGAGTTTCACTGCTAATGTAGGGTTGGTAAACAAAACAATTCCCGAGCAGAAGAAGGAGTTCTTTTTTAACTTCGTTGATGAGTTATTACCTGATTGGAATACCGTTTATAAGCTTGTTTGAGCGAGTTGAATGTTTTACATCAAAGAAAAAACAACTTGCAAAGTTTCGCTAAGAAAATAGAAAGTCTTGTTTCTGAGCTTATCAAACTTCAGATTTCTGAATCAGGTGAGCAATGTAGGGATGCTATAATCGCTACTAGCAACCTGCAGCATTCAATATATTCCTGAAGGGCTACGGAATCAACAAATTTGTTAAAGCATTGAAGCTAGTCGTGTATAGACATTTACAGATGCGATGCAAATCGCAGGAAGATACGTATCATTTACAAAACAGAAGGACTTATTATATCACAATGCACAATAATGACAAAAAATGCAATAAAAAAAAATATTACAAAAACGATAATAAAAGCTTTAACAACAATAACAATAATAATGGTTATGACCGAAATAAATATGATAAAAACAATAAAAATTATAATATCATTAAAAGACGAAATAACAGTTGAAATAACCACTCTAATTATAGTAGGAATAATAATTGGAATAAGGACAACAATAACGGTAACAGAAATAATAATAATGGTAACAATAACAGAAACAACAATCACTACAATGGTAGGGGCTATAATGTTAACCATGTACAAGATCATTGAATGTTTGTTTTCGGAGAGCACAGACAGAAACATATACAGTAAATCATCTTACCTCAAGGAATACGTGAGTTTGAATATAATAGGTCTAGACTATACACTTGCGTTTTTTATTGATACAAGTGCAGATATTTATTTGGGTAAAGAGGTAAATCCCGACGGTTACTGCAATCCGTTTACTGTTAACAAGCCGAGGAAAATAATTAAATCTTTTGGGTCAACTAATGTTAAAATAGATATAAATGGTATCGTTATAAAAGATAGTGTTCAAATAGAGTCAACTGATATTTCACTTAGTACAAATGGGATTTGAGGTAGAGATTTTCTATAAAAAAATAAATGTAATTTTGATTATGGTAGGTATATCTAAAAATTTAATTGAAATAATGAAAGCGCCACAATTCCTATACATGATAGTTCTTTCGAGATTAATCAAGAAGTTGTGCCGAAGAAGAGTGAAATCATTTTAGCTTCTACAATTGAATTGGTGAAAGTTGCAGTCGTATTATTTCGAAAAAAAAAAAACAATAGATCATATAAAATTAGAAACAGTTCCTTAAAGCAATTATGACGTACTCACAGTTAACAATTTTTACTAACATAGTTGTTATACTGACAAGAGTTTTAAAAGTATTTTAAGCGGAATTAATTTAGATGGCTTGAGTGAGTCATAGTCCATCTAGAAGATAAAGATTTAACGACAAACAAATTTTATAAGCAGAAAATTAACCTAGAAGACAAAAATTCTGTTTATATTAAAAATTATAGATTACCATTAGCACATAAGGAAGAGGTAGATGCTCAAGTACAAGATGTTTTGAAAAGTAAATTAAATGAACCATTAGTTAGTACTTATAATGTACTTTGCTAAGTTAACAGCATTTTCGACATATAATGGTCATTATGAGTATATGAGATTACCTTTTGGTCTTAAAATATCATCTAATAGTTTTCAACGAATGTTTTCAACGAATGTTGGTCGTAGTTTACAGTTTTCTGATGTAGCTTCCAACACCACAAAGAGAATCTCATTAATGTACTTGATAGACTGAAGATATTCAATTTGAAACCAACTCTAATAAATGTTGTTTTTTGAAACCAGAGGTAGTTCATTTAGGTAATTTTTTACTTCTAATGTGACTCTAACAGATCCTTCGAAACACAATGCAATAAAAAATATCTAATTTTGCAAAATAGGGATTATGTAAGAAGATTCATAGCTTTTGTAATTATTATAGAAGTTTCATTACAAGTTTTGCCGAAAGTCAAAAACATTTGAGAAACTTAAAGAAAAGATTGATGACACCACAAATTTTACAGTATGCAGATTTAGACAAATCCTTTTATACTAACTAGAGACGATGCTGATTTTGACTGTCACAAGTAGAAATGGGAAATTACAGACCAATATATTTTTCAAGTCGTTTATGGTAGGGAATTTGTAGTGAGTACGGATAAAAATCCCCAATCTCATTGTTTTCTCATAAGAATCCAAATTCGAAATTAACAAGAATTGGATGGGAACTATGATTTTGAAAATGTGTATAAGGAAAGAATTAATAATACTAATGCTGATGCGCATAAGCGCATAAAAATAGACTCCGATATATTAAAAATATATATGAAAACATATAAATGTCGCTCAAAAATATTAATTTTAGACATTTATTTCGGCAAAACTTTTAGTAAATCTTCTTTAATAATTACAAAAAGCTACGAGTATATATATATATATATATATATATATATATATATATATATATATTTATAAGTTAACACCACAAATATTCAAATCTCACAAATGTATCATCATGGACAGCAACGACAACAACAACAGCAATAACTAAATCAAATGCGCGTGTTATAATGCTGACATGCAGTTTCCCACAGAATGACCAGAAGGTATTCCAGACGACACACGAGCCGGTGTCCAATAACAATACAGGTGTGGGAACATGCAAAATGCAGTAGCAACGCTGCAGTGCGATGAGTATAAGTTTAGGGTAGTTTTAGTTATTATTCGCTTTTTAACTTTGAATCTCAAATAAAACGGATGTTGGTCAAAAGCGCTAGCTTGCGAGACAACATATTTTTTTAATAAAAACTTACAAGTACAGTTTTAATTGGCGCCCGAGCAGGGACCAGCGTCAGACTGGTCTGAACCCGATTCGAGATTAAAGTATAAAGTCAAGCCTTCGGATGGGCCCCTCAGTACCTTCGGTGGAAACAGGAGCAACGTTATGTTGCAGCCCCTGAAGCCCGCGACGCGGAAAAATAATAAGTGATATAAATAAAGCCTCCGGAAGGGCCCCTTAGTACCTTAACTGTGAAAAAGGAGCAACGTTATGTTGCAGCCCCCGAAGCCCGTGATGTGGAAAATATAGAAGAACATAAGTTGAATAAGAACATATAAAAATAAATATAAATGAAAAAATGAAGAGTTTAAATAAAAAATAAAAGATATAAATATTAAAAAGTTGACAAGTGAAAAAAATAAATGAACAGTTAAACACTCCTTAGAAAAAAGAGAATAAAGTTTTTGAAAAAAAAAATAAGAAAAACCATTTAATAAATAACCCTCGAAGGAAAAGTAACTAGAATATTAAAATAAGTGTAACCAGTAAAACACTCCTTAGAAAAAGAGAAGAAGTGAATAAATGAAAAAAATTAAATTAGAAAAGAACCATTTAACAAACGATACTTGAAGAA